AGAGGTACGTTAGTCCACTTTCCTGAAACCTAACATTCTTTCTCTCTCTGTTTGAATGTTCAAAGAGTTATCTGGAGCTTCCCCAGAGCTTATAAACAGGCTAGTACCAGAGCACGTTAGGTGACAGATGGGTGGAGGCTTTCCATTTCAAGCTGCTCCGTATAAACGACTTCGAAACCAAGATGCTTTGTTTCTTGGTAGAAAAGCCCATCAAGCATTTGCTTGGGGCTATAGAATTTCAATTAATTTAGGGGCCATTTTGTATAAATATGAGTTGGTTAAGTTGGTGCAGTGATCTATGAAAAATGTGTTTATTTGTTATTGTATTTGGCATATTTTATTTTTAATTAACATTATATTATAGAATTAGCTTTTCTTAAACAACTTAAAACAGAACAAATGAAATAAATATACAAAACTACATCGTCCACCTTATTGTTTACATCTACTAAAATGAAGAAAATAACCTATAAATTCTTAGGTGGTAGGGGGGTTATTGGGGGATAACACGTTTTCTAATTTGGGTAACAACTGATAGCATTTTCAGATTTTTTCAAAAAAAAATAAGTTAAATTAATTTCTGAATTGGGAAAAAGATTAAAAAAACCTCAAAAAGAAAGAAAAATTTATAAAAAAACAGCATATTTGTATTCCTACTTGTAGGCGATTCTTTACCAATCTTGCGTGGTGAAAAAATAATACTCATATTTTTGTCCATGTTTGGTGTTGAAGAGATTCTATTACAAAGATAAGTTTACTTTTATGGAAAAAAAATTAGAAAAAAAATATATATATACATTGTTCACTAGACCTAAAACTATGGAAACTAATGAAGAATTCAACAAAATCAGGATTTTTTCTAGTAATGATGAAACTTATTACAAATAAGAAAGATTACAAGTACATGTAATCCCAGCTTACAATGAACCTGCTCACTACTTAGCAAAAAAAAAACTTTTTCCAACAATGTTTTCTATTCTAGTTAGATTTATTCCCCTATCTGGTTAACCCCTCTACTTCATTGTGACTTTTTATATTCTTCACTTTCTGGTCAATATATATGCTTCTTGTACAATTACATGTAATCCCAGTTTCCCACTCTAAAACCAAACTTCCACACATCAAGCCAGCAATCTGAAATATAAACATCATAGACATAAACCTTAGAGCTAACACTGTTCTCATTCTTAAACCCTCTAATCACCCGTACCTCAATATCATGGTATCTCCATGTGTCTTCATCATCCTCGTAATTACCTGAGACGATAATGCTGGTGGCTATCGGTTCATCTCCCCACCGAGCACAGTTCATGACGGTAAAAGAACACGTCGCCGATCTCAACACCGGGGATTGAACCCACTAAGTATTTACCTGGGGTTGAGATCGGCGACGTGTTCCCTTACCGTCATGAACCTGTGCTCTCAGTGGGCTTACACAGCCAGCTACAACGTAGCTCCCAAAGGTGAACCGATTGCCCACCAGAATTGTCGTCTCAGATAATTTGAGGATGATGAAGACGTACGTGGCTTGTTACATTAGTCCCAGCAAAGACCCAAATGTGACATTACGGAAACTACTCAGTTACAGATGGTGAGCTTCACGTTCAGTTCATCAGCGACCCATAGTCCAGGCTTAGCTCCGATAACAAGGGAACATCAAAAGAAAAAAAAAACATTATTAAAGCTAAGCCTGGACTATGGGTCAGCAGATGAACTGGACGGGAAGCTTGCCATCTGTAACTGAGTAGTTTCCTTGTTTCTGTATTTTTCTTTATGTCTTTACCAAGATAGCTCTCCTGAATGCTTAAGCTTGAGGTAATTTCTCAAATAAATGTTCTTTTTTTTGGTCAAAACCTAAAAGTATATTCATTTTCTAAATCAAAAACATTTATTATGATAGATATTTGGCTAGTGGATAGTGGTATATGCTCGTATTCATATAATAATCGAATGATGTTTGTATACATGTAAGTCGTCCTCATTTAATTTTCTAAACCAAAACCATTTATGATCAACGAGATTTTGGATTGTATATGCTGAATTCGCTGATCGTATGTATTCGTATAATAGTCAAATGATGTTTGTGTACATGCAAAACTTCCACAACATATATCTTTAAGGTGAAGGTAATATCGGCCGCGTTTTCATTCTACAGTTCGTTAATTTTTCTTTATCCAATTCCTAGGTGGAGGCCAGAATTTCTGAAATATGTTTCACACCGGCTTTATATTATAGTAGCTACGAAGAACATAACAACACATTACTATACTATCATATTTATCTAACATTATTATAATAATAATAAAGAAAAAGTTATAACATTATATATAAAAAAGTGAAGTCTCATTTTGATAAGAGTTTACCTTGGCGTCATTGTAAAAAATTCCTAAAATCTAACAGATTTGTCATTTTGATTAAAATTTCGTTCTGTTTAGGTTCTTGGTACTCCAACTACAAAGAAATCAAAGACCACTGATGGATACTATCTCGACACGGAGGCTGACGACAGCGAAATTGAATTAAACTTTATCGATTGTTGGCTTTTGTTCATGAAGCAAGCTTCTCCTTTGAATCTCTGTGTAGTCTTTGATTCAAATGTATATTTTGTTGTTGGTAGTCTTAATAAAGTATTTTGATGATAACCAAAGCTAATTATTGAGTACTGATGAAAGCTTGAAGATTGAAGCGACTACTTTGAGGGCAAACGAAACGTGTTTGTCATTTATGTGTTCAAGGCTTCTATAAATTCTAATTTTACTTCTATTTTATGTTGTTTTCATTTGGCTTCAATTTCTGTACTCGAAATTAAGTAAAAATATAATTTTTTTTCAAACGTTAAAGGATCATCACAAGGTTCTTTAGAAATCAAGATGAAGTCCTTTACATATTTGGTTTAGCTCTCAAAAGTGTGACCAACATGGTGTGTAAGAGAATAATCTGTAAGTTTTTGATCACTCGCTCAAGATAGGGTGTGTACATTAGACTCGATTAAAACTGTGACCAACTAAACCGTCAGCTCGAGCCAAAACTCGCACAACCAGAAATTTGTTTAAGGAAAACTAAGGGATCGGAAACTTTTAGGGTTTATCGTCAAGAACAGTAAGATCGAAAGAAAGTTTTTCTTGCTGTAAAAGTGTTTAGCCCTTATTGCTTAGGGTTGCAAAAGTTACAGAATGAATTGTATACATCATCTATTTATACTAATTCTCCGAACCGCCTAGCCGAGAATCTCGGGAGAGATTTTCGGAATATTTCCTTATCGCCTCGTGCGTCTCACCGCCTTTGTATTTCGCCTAGGGTTTTTATGGGCTTCGTCTCTCAAGGCCTTGGTTCAGCCCATCTGAACCTTTCCACGGCTCGGCCCATCTAACTTCTCCACGGCTCGGCCCGTCTAACTTCTCCACGGCTCGGCCCACTTGCCATTTTACTGGAGACATGAACTGGTCCACCTCACGGAGGCGCGGCTCGGCCCAAGCATGTTGGAGTGGGGCTCGGCCCATTTCTTACGATACGGCTCGCCCCAGCTATCTTTCTTCACGGCTCTCCCTACTGGACTATCTTCATGGCTCTCCCACTTGGTGACCGCGGCTCTCCCAATTGTCTTGGTGAGCACGGCTCTCCCACTTGGTGACAACGGCTCTCCCACTTGGTGACCACGGCTCTCCCACTTGTCTTGGTGAGCACGGCTCGGCTACTTTGTCTTTCTTCCATACTTAGTCATTTTGAGATGGTTTTATCTTCTTGGGGTGAAAACCGACCCCAACAGTTAGCCCCCTAGCTCGTCAGTTTCGGAGGCGAGAGTGACGAGGTCCATTACTCTTGATAGTGGGATAAACCATCGAGTCAAGCTGTTATGACGTAAGCCCAGATGAGGTGTTTTGGGAATGAAAACGCCGAGGCGTTCCCAAGGAGTGCCGAGGGTACCGAGGTGTTTTGAGAGGGTACCGAAGATGCCGAGGCAAGTTAAGGACGAGGCGATTTCGTTTAGTAATGATGAGCCGCGACGAGGCGATTTGAGAAGGTTATGCCGAGCCGAGTAAATGGCGAGGCGTTTCGAGAGAAAGTTTGTGCCGAGCCATTTCATTAACGACGAGGCGTTTCAAGAGAGAGAGAGTTAATGCCGAGCCGTTTTGTTAACAACGAGGTGTTTCGATAGAGAGCTAATGCCGAGCTATTTTGTTAACGACGAGGCGTTTCAAGAGAGAGCTAATGCCGAGCCGTTTTCTTAACGACGAGGCGTTTCAAGAGAGAGAGAGCTAATGCCGAGCCATTTTGTTAACGACGAGGCGTTTCAAGAGAGGGCTAATGCCGAGCCGTTTCGTTAACGACGAGACATTTCAAGAGAGAAAGCTAATGCCGAGCCGTTTTGTTAACGACGAGGCGTTTCAAGAGAGGGCTAATGCCAAGCCGTTTTGTTAACGACGAGACGTTTCAAGAGAGAGCCAATGCCGAGCCATTTCGTTAACGACGAGACATTTCAAGAGAGAGAGCTAATGCCGAGCCGTTTTGTTAACGACGAGGCGTTTCAGGAGAGGGCTAATGCCGAGCCGTTTCATTAACGACAAGACGTTTCAAGAGATAGCCAATGCCGAGCCGTTTCGTTAACGACGAGGCGTTTACTTTGGTAAGATATCGGCCGAAAACTTGGGTATCCCAACTGTTGATCTTCCGAGAGAAAATTCCTGATCTATTGGCGCATGCAACCGACGCAGTTCGGTCTAGCCGTTTCACCGCGGATCCCACGCGCTGTTGGACGGTTTCCCGAGGTTTACACGGAATTCACGCGCTTCGGTTTTCCTATAAATAGGTGAGCTCCTTCATTCTTCCTCATTATCTTCAGACTCACTCGTTTTCACTAAAGGTAGCTCTCCCTTCTCTCTTCTATCTCTCTCTAGTTTATTTATTTTCCGGCTAGGGTTTCTGAGATCTCCGCCGTTCCAGATCTTTTTCCGGCGGAGGTTCGCCGAGTCGTGCTGTAATTCTTGTATAAGTCGTAAATTATGTCGAGCCGCTCCGACGATTCATTGGATTCACTTTTTCATTACGAGCCGAGCCGCGTAGATGCCGAGGCGAGAGGTGCGACAGAATCCTCCGAGACGTCTGTTTCACCGAGCCCTTCCAATCGTTCATCTGACGAGGCGTCAAATCATGCAAATCCGTCAGATGTCGGCTCTCCGGATGACGAGCCATCGGTTTCGACGAGCCATCCCCAGGATCCCGTTCCTGATGAAGACATTAATCACGCCGCACTTAAAACCGAGGAGGAGGCGTTTCCCTTTGACCTTTTCGAGGCGAAGCGTGAATTGGAACGTCTCATGGCGTCCAGAGGCGTTTCCACATCTGGGCGAGGGCCACGAGTTAAGAGACAAAAACCTGACCCGCCTGGCTCTACGCTTTGCTCCCTTGAGTCGCTCGAGGCGTTGAGGCATCGCTTCGGGATATCCGAGGTGGTGGAGTTCGTCGTTCCAGAGAAGAGCGACCGAGCCGACAAGCCTCCAGAGAATCACTTCACTCTGTACGAGGCGTTCTTCGAGCTTTGCTTTCTCTGGTTCCCGATCCCCGGGGTGATCCTTGAATATCTCTGGAAACACGGGATCTTGATTGGGCAAATCATGCCGAGGGGATACGGCATATGATTGGCATCTTAGTTCGAAGCTTCGAATGCTGACTTGACATCGAGCTGAATCATCTGCTGAACTTGCTGGAAATCAGGAAAGCTTTGAAAGGAAATAGATTCTATATTTCCAACAAGGCGAAGCGACGGATCATAGGCGGTTTTCCCAGCAAGGATCAGTTTTGGACTGAACGCTTCTTCTACGTCTTGGTGAACGCGGCGTCGGTCGGCACGTTCAAAAAACCAAGACCGCTTGGGGACCACTTGGTAGCCGACCCGAAGCTTTGCCTCGGCTCGGAACTGTTTTTTGGTATCCTCTTCCCTTACTGAAATTTTTTTCTTTTTTGCTTTGTTTTGCAGTTCGGTGCTTTCTTCCCCCGATTCCCGACGACCTCTTTGTTGTTCGAGACTCTCTTTCGGCTCGGAAGGTCAATTGGAGGAAGAATTTCACCCTCGAGAGAGTAGAGAAAGCCCGAGCTATCCTTGCCGGAGTCCCTGTCAGTTCTTCATCTTCCATCTCCTCAAGGGATACACGAGAGAAAATGGTGATAATCGCTCTGAGAGATAGGAAGAGGCGTGAAGAAGAGGCGGCTGCGAGACGAGCTGCCGAGGCGGCTCAAGCGCAGACCGAGGCGGTTCCAGGGCAAACCGAGGCCATCCCTCAACCTGACCCGCCGAGCCGGGAAGGAGGCGAAATGGTCCGAGCCGCTGAAGGCAACACCGCTGAGGCGGTCGAGACAGATGCAGCGCCCGAGGTGGAACCAGGTGAAATTATTCCTGAGGTGTCCAAGGAAACACCGCCGAGGCGGTCGAGAGAGATGCAGCGCCTGAGGTGGAACCAGGCAAAATTATTCCCGAGGTGTCCGGGGATGATTCAGCGGTGCGGAGCAAAACTCCTTCGAACTCCGCCATTTTAGCCCTCCCGAAGTCGACGAGGCCCCCGACTTCAGTTGTTCAGAAACATGACTCGAGCCGAAAACGTTCGGCCGCTGACAAGGGGAAGGGCGTTGCTGTTCAGAAGGACGAGCCGTCCAAGAAGAGGCGGAAGCCGACGCCTGGGGACCCCGCCGTGCGCAAGTTGGTCGTTGACGACCCCGACGCCTCCGCCGTCATGTTCTCGCGTGTAAAAAACGCGAACACGCGTTTTCCTCCTCCAGAGAAGCTGAGGAGGCCGAGGTCATACGGCGCGATGGCACAGCGCGGTACCAAGGTACGTTCTATTTGCTTTCCTTTATTTTCGCAAATTTTTACTAAGTGTTTAACGCGAGTTTATTCTTTGCAGTTTGTTGCGGCCATTAACGACCTGATGGCCGAGTACGAGGCGGACCTGTCTAAGGTCGAACGTCGCTTGGACAAGGCCCGAAATGAGACCGCGGCGTCAAGGGCAAAGCTGGAAGAGGCTCAGAACGAAGCCACGGCGGCAAAGGGGAAACTTGACGAGGCAATGTCCAGAGTGTCGAGGCTGGAAGAGGAGAAGATAGTTCTCCGCGCCAACGTTGACAAAGTTTCTGCCTCGGTGATTCGCCTGGAGGAGGCAAGGAGAGCCAAAAGCGCCGAGGTGGCGTTGCTCAAAAGGCGTATTGAGGCCAAGGATGCTCTGTTCGAAGCCAAGGTTAAACGTGCGAAGAAGGAGGCGAGGCGAGAGCTGACCGCTAAGTTTCAGGAGCGCCTCGCCAAAGTAGAGGAGGGTCTGGCCAAGCTCGAGAAGGCCAAAAACGACGAGAACGATATGGGGCAAATCAAGGGCAACCTTGCGATGATTGTCGTCATGAAGAAACCAGACGCCCCAACGCTCGATGATGAGGAGGCGCAGCTAAAGAGCTGGGAGAGCAAATATGCTGACGACGACGCGTATGAGCGCATTGCCTCCGAGATTCAAGGCGAGCTGGTTTTCTCGCCCGTATCGCCGGACTCGGTCGACACCAGCCTTGGTAACGAGCCGCTCGAAGAGACAGCGGCCAACTTAGGCGTCGTAGATCCAAATGGATCGAACGCGGGTACGCCGGTCCTCTCGAACCTCCTTGCCGAGCGTGAAACGCGGTGCGCGGCCTGATACTCTCTGCTTTCCCCTATTTTGTCTCACATGCTTCTGTACTTAGGATTTTTATCTGCTTTTTGAACTCGTATGTTACTGGTGCCTGGATGGCTTTATCCACCTGACAATTGTTATTTCTTTTGCATTTGGTTATGTTATTCTTTTCCTTAGCCGTTTTCTGAGAATGTTTACGAAAACTATTGCCTTAGAGAAAATTGTCAAGGATGAAAATTGCTGTGTCGAGAATGATTTTGATTGCTTCCTTAGCCGAAATTTTTGAAATTGATAGAAATACGGGCTAAGGGGTGAGTTGTTTTAAGGATCTCGTTTGGATTCTTAATCCCGAGCTGGGAGTTTGTTTTGTGACGCGTCTTTTAGGTGATTCTGGCAATGCCGAGCCGTGTTTAACGATGAGGCATTTTCGCTGTGAATGGTGCCGAGCCGTGTAAACGACGAGGCATTTTTTTGTTGCGTGGTGCCGAGCCATGTAAACGACGAGGCGTTTTCGCTTTGCATGGTGCCGAGCCGTGAAAACGATGAGGCGTTTTGTTTTTGTTAGCCAAGGATGATTTGGTAGTCATATTGAATCTGACTATGGACCGGTGTTTCCGAGAGGATGAGTATGTTTGTCCGGGTTTTAAGAGTTTACTTCGGTTTTAGAGAAAGCGATGTAGTCTCGACTTATATTCTCGTGTGCGATAGTAAACCGTGGCGACCTGATACGTTTTTGGTCTGATATTTGTATAGCGCGCTTAATTTTTATCCGTAGAGGATGTAACTTGCACCCTCGTCCTAGGAAAGGTGGTAAAAGTCCGTTTAGAGAACTTTGTATTGGTTGCCCCATTGTGGCCAGCAACGAGACGAGGCGTTCGGAGGCTTAGTTTGCTGAACTGAAACTGAGGACCGATTAAGGTCCGAGGTGATCAGGTCATGATATCATGCCGAAGTGGTATGATTACTCGCCGAAGTGACGAGTGAAAGAATTTAAAAATCCAAACTTGTTAAAATAATTTGTTGATTTAGAAAGAATGAGAAACTAGCCGAAGCGATAATGAACGAACTAGAAATCCAAGGTAAACGTGAAATAAGTAGATGATTCAAAACGAACTGAGAATGTGCTGAAGTGACGATGTTCCTAAGTGAGCAAGCTAAAATTGTAGAATTAAAGGAGGTATGTGTATACGTACCCACTCCCCCCCCTTTTTTAGGAGGGGGGACAGCTGAACCCGTTCGAGGACGGGCTGCCTACGTACCCTTTGCAGGGATCAAGCCGTCCCGTAGTTCATGCTGGCCGTGATGTAGCTTTAGTGATAATACTTCTTTAGATGCATTGCGTTTCATGATCTTGGATCGCCTCGTCAGCTAGTGTCGCGAGTTCGTAGACTCCTGGACAAACCACTTTTGTAACCTTGTAAGGACCTTCCCAATTTTCTCCGAGCTTTCCTGCGTTCTTGTCGGCAGTGTTTTGGAAGACCTTCCGGAGGACGAGCTCTCCTTCTTTGAATCTTCGACTACAAACGTTTTTGTTGTAGTATCTCGCCGTTGCTTGTTGATAGTTCTGGATTCGAATTAAGGCTTGGTCGCGCTTTTCGTTGATTAGGTCGAGCTCATCTAGCATCATTAAGTGGTTCAAGCCCTCCTGTCCTGGTAGAAGTTTTCGTTGAATACCTGGGAAATCCACCTCGGGGGGAATTACGCACTCTGTTCCGTAGACCAAAGCGAATGGAGTTTCCCCGGTTGCTCGGCGCGGAGTTGTCCGATGAGACCAAAGGACTCCTTCGAGTTCGTCTGCCCACCGTCCTTTCTTGGCATCGAGTCTCTTTTTCAGACCGTCGAGGATCTTGTTGGTTGCTTCGGCTTGCCCGTTCCCTTGAGGGTATCTTGGCGTAGATTTGCTTAGGCGGATTTTCCACTTTTCGCATAAGGCTCCAAAGCGTGTTGAGATGAATTGGGATCCGTTGTCGGTGACTATCTCGTAGGGAACCCCGTGTCTGCAGATGATATTTTTCCAGACGAAGTGTTCGACTTGAACATCCTTTATGCTTGCGTAGGAATCGGCTTCGACCCACTTGGAGAAGTATTCCGTGAGGACGAGCAGAAAACGCTTATGCTTCGAGCGATGTAGAGGTCCGACGATGTCCATCGACCATCTCATGAACGAATAAGGTGACGAAATTGACGAGAGCAACTCGGTAGGTTGATGAATTGTTGGAGCGTTCCGCTGACATTTCTCGCACTTCGCCGTAAATTTCTCGCAGTCCTTGACCATCGTGGGCCAGAAGTAGCCGTGCCGTTTTATCTTGATAGCGAGCGACCTTTCGCTGGAATGGTTCCCGCACGAGCCGTTGTGCACCTCGTGCATGATCTTTCTTGCCTCCGCTCCTTCGACGCATGTCATGAGAGGCCCTGAAAACCTCCATTTAAACACCTCGCCATCGACGAGGACATACCGCGCGGCCTAAGCTTTTAGTTTGCGGGCTTCCCATTTGTCGGTTGGCACTTCTCCATCGGCGATATACACTCGGATAGCTCCGAGCCATTCTTTGTCGCAGCCGTACTCCGGCTCGGCTGGTGAGGCGTCTTCATCCATAGGAATGGCTTCGTCGTCCTCTGGTTCTTGTTCAGGAGGATTTATCAGCCGAACTCCTTCCACCTCTTCGTTGCCAGGACGTTTGATGAATTCGACTGGGATCGTCCGTCGGAGGTCTGGGTCCGAGGTCGAAGCGAGTGCTGTCAAGGCGTCGGCCGAGGTGTTTTCTCCTTGGGGGATTCACGTGAGTCAAACTTTTGCACCAACTCTCGGACCACCTTGAGGTAGGCTCCCATTCGTCCGTCCTTCACCTCATATTCTCCGTTGAACTGGCATGCTACGAGCTGTGAATCACACAAAGTCCTTATCTTTCGAACCCCGATTCTCTGCGCTAGTCATATGCCGGCGATCAGTGCTTCGTATTCTGCTTCGTTGTTCGAGGCGTGGAAGTTCAGGCGAAAAGACGGCTCCAATATTTCACCGGTGGGAGAGGTGAGACGGATTCCTATTCCCGAGCCGTGTTTAGACGACGAGCCGTCGACGTGCAACGTCCATACTTTGTCTAGAGTCGGCTCGTTTGTTGCTTCGGCTGGTCGTTCAATGAGAAAATCTGCGAGCACTTGTGACTTTGCAGACGATCTGTTCCGATACTCGATGTCGCATTCGCTTAGCTCTATGGCCCACTTGGCGAGCTGACCGGATTGGCTGGGGCTGTGTAGGATCGAGCGCAGCGGAAGTGTAGCGAGCACAACAATCGAATGTGATTGAAAATACAGGCGCAGTTTGCAAGCTGAGACTACGACGGCTAGGGCGACCTTCTCGATCTAGGGGTAGCGGGTCTCGGCGTCGGTCAGTGTCTGGCTGATGTAGAAAATGGGTTTTTGCTCGGATCGTTCTTCTCTGATAAGCACTCCGCTTACAGCTGTAGCAGACACTGCGATGCAGAGGAAGAGCGGCTCTCCTTCGACTGGTTTTGCTAAGATCGGTGGGCTCGCCAGATTATTTTTCAATTCCTGGAAAGCCGCTTCGCATCGCTCGTCCTACTCAAATTTCTTCTTTCCTCGGAGGGTGTCGTAGAAGGGGAGGCATTTGTCTGTGGAACGGGAAATAAACCTATTTAGCGCGGCGACTCTTCCGGTGAGCCTTTGCACTTCCCGCTTCGTCCTTGGAGAGGGCATCTCAATTAACGCCTTGATTTGCTTGGGGTTTGCTTCTATGCCTCGGTGAGTTACCAGATAGTCGAGGAATTCTCCTGAGGTTACCGCAAATCTGCACTTCGCCGGGTTTAGTTTCATGTTGTGCTTGTTCAATTGCTCGAAGCATTCCCGTAGATGCGTGACGTGGTCTTCCTCCTTGAGTGATTTGACTAATATGTCGTTGATGTATACTTCCATGGTTTTTCCGAGCTGAGCCGCGAACATTTTATTGACGACCCGCTGATACGTTGCTCCTGCATTCTTGAGCCCGAACGGAATGACTTTGTAGCAGTATATCCCGCGATCAGTTATGAATGCCGTTTTTTCCCGATCATCAGGATGCATCAGGATCTGATTGTAGCCGGAGAACGCGTCCATAAATGTTAACAGTCTATTCCCTGCAGTGGCTTTGACGAGCCGGTCGATGTGTGGCAAGGGAAAGCTGTCTTTTGGGCACGCCTTGTTCAGGTCAGTAAAATCTACACAGACCCGCCACTTGCCGTTCTTCTTCTTCACGACCACCGGATTTGCGAGCCAGTTCGGATATTTGGCCTCGGTGATTGATCCTACTTTGAGTAACCTCTCGACTTCGTCATTCACTGCTTTAGCTCGTTCGGGGCCGAGATTCCTTCTTTTCTGCTTGACTGGTTTAAAGGTCGGATCCACATTCAGCTCGTGACAGGTTACGTCGATTCTTATGCCTGGCATATCTTCCGCTGTCCAGGCAAAAGTGTTGATGTTTTCCTTGAGGAGGGAAAGGAGTTCGCTTCTCAGAGGCTCTTCAAGTTTTGTTCCTATTTCGACGCATCTCTCCGGACGCGCCTCGTCTATGCACACCGAGTCCACCGCGTCACATACCGGCTCGGCGCGTGTTTCGCGGCTCTCCGCGATCTGTAATTGCTATAAGAGTTTCAAGAGCTCGTTCACGGGCTCTCGGTCTGTCTTCATCTTTTTGCGGTCTATGTCTGCTCGTGCGTTGGTGACGGGGTTCCTCAGCTTGTGTTCGGCTAGGCAGCACATTCGTGACTCCTTCAGATTCCCCCAGATCGTTTTGACACCTGCTGGAGTTGGGAATTTGAGGCAGAGATGATAGGTGGAGGATACCGCCCTCATCCCGTTGATCCACGGAGTTCTCATGATCACATTGTAGATTGCTGGGTGATCAGTGACGCAGAATTCGACGATCTTAGTGACTCCGCCAGCTACCACAGGAAGCCTGATCGTTCCCATAGTCATCGTCGTTTCTCCTGAAAATCCGGTTAGAGGTTTGGGGATTGCTTCCACCTCGGAGA